CCCAAATCTCATTTTCTAAGGTGACCTTAAAATTAGGCAGCAAGTTTTCATATATTAGTTCCTCAGTAAAATAACATGTCTAGAGAATGATAGGTTTTTAAATCAATCTTGTTTATGTTAAGTATTTCATAAAATCAGCACACATGATATTTTCAGCTGAAAAATAGTGTCCTTGGCAGCAGAGCAAATGCTGGCTTTCTAGATTATGATTTAAAACTGTACCAGTAATGTTAGAGTTCTGGAAGAAGAAAAATGCCTAATGCTGTGTTAATGTCAGAAATGAAGGCATAAAGTGGCATTCCTTTGCCTTTAGCTTCAAACAGGGCATTTCTATTTCAATCTCCAAAGTTGTCTTTTCGGCAATACAATTTTAGCTTCAAGTTGATGCAAATTTCCTTATTTTGTTGCTCACACGTTAATTTATATGTACATCTAGATTTTGACTGTTCTAAAAAGTTTAAATTCTGCTTTGGTCAAATTCTTTTCTCAAATGGAAGACAGAGACTCTTTACATAGGACACCAACAACTGTTTTTTTTTTTGAAAGAGAGGCCATCAGAGTTCATATTGCTGGACCAAGATGACCAAAAAATAATAACCAATTCTTATGGGAGCTCGTTTGTGCTTTGTAACAGAATAATAAACATTTAAAATTGCTAGATGCAGCTGAAAGTAATTGTGATGCTTCTATATGCTACTTGATCTTTGAGACAATCTTGTGAAGTAGACATGCATCTTCCCCATATCACAGAGGAAGAAACTGAGGTTCAGGGAGACTAAGAGCCTTTCCAACTAGGTTCAGCTTGATGGAAACACTGACATTTGAATCAGGATCGCCAGAGCCATGCTACTGACCATGTTACACCTTCCCATTTCAAACAGTATCACGTGGGAGCACATCACACACACACACACACACACACACACACACTTACCACCAAGGGAATGTCACACTTATCTATTCTGTCTTTCCATTCCTCAGCCAAAATTTATTCAAAATCTTCAGTGAGCAGAGAAAATAATCAAAATCGTGTTTCCTGGTCTGGGTACAAACTTTCTTCTAATTTCTTACCCCGTTCTGACTTTTGTTCTGTAAAAGGATAGGCTTTGGGGGTTTAACACTCCCTTCCATGCCCACAGTATGGGCATGGGTGCTGGCCATGGGTGCTGTCTGTTGTACTGAGAAACTCTGCTCTGAAAGCCTCAGATGGTCTTGTCCTCTCATTGATCTCCAGCCTCAGCACACTCTCTTATGAGGAGGCACTTGGAGTCATAAAACCATGATTTTTAGTCCCAGACTGCTCTCCACTGTAGGAAACTACCCCACCCCCGCAAGAGACTCTGCAGGGAGCTGCTTGTATCTCAGGCTTTCCCAAGGACATCCAGGGAATTGAACAATTTGGAAAGATTCTGTTTTCTCCTTCCCTACTCCCAAATCTGATTTTTTTGTTAGGCCAAGGAAACAGATTTCTTCAGGCACCATAGCTTCAGGGCTGATGGTGGAGAGGAGTATTAGCACCCTGGAGGAGCTTAAAAGCCTTCATGGTCCAACAGCTACCCTTCACAAGTAATATTGTTTTTCCAGGCTGATTCTCTACTTCTGGGTGGTGCCAGTCGCTGAAGACCTTCCAAAGAATGCCTTTAAAATGCATTGTTCTCAAACAGGGTGAGTAGAGGCTTATGGGAAAGACCATCCTCTCTATCCTTGTTGGCAGAGTCTCAAATCATTCCCAAATCATGTTATGGATTCCTAGAGGTCAAAGGGATGGTGTGTGTGTGTGTGTGTGACTTCTCCAAGAAACCCACACGTTTGAAGGGAGAGACATAAGGGAAACACTCAAAGACACAAACAAAGATGCATTCCTAATTCCTCTTTTCTAAGTCCAAACACCACTCTCCCTTGACCACTCACAAGGAATAGTAGAAATCAGTCCTTTGCCACACAAACCTTTCCATTTGCAAGGTTATTGCAGAAAAGGACAGGATGAAGCTGATATTTATTTGAGAACCTTTAGGAATAAAGACATCTCTGAGAAGACTAAGTTTATTTCTTTTTAAGTAGATATTCCTTAATTTACTTCTGGGAAGAGTAAATCATAAACATCTAAAGTATGCACCAATTTTTATAGCTTCAATAAAGGATACTGATACACTCACTTTCTTTTGGCATCACCTGTTTCCGAAGAATGCTCTGAGAAAAATATAAAAGCTGCAGTTCAAGCTGTAATCATTTATTTTTTATCCATTTGGGAAAACTGGAAAATAAGCAGATGCTATGCTTCCTGCAGCAGTATCTTCTACTTAGAGACTGAAGAAATCTATCCACATCTCAGAGAGGTACATCTTCCTGTCTTTTTTTCCCCATTAATATTCTATTATTTAGAGATTGTTGTCATAGAAGAAACAATATGCAAGAAACATACAAAAGAAGTACTGTTGAAGAGCAACCCTAAACAACTGTGAATTATATTGTAGAGAAGAGTTGTGTAAATACACTGGAGGGCTAGGTTCAATCTTCTCTGTAATTGTTTATCACTCTGAGCTTATTCTTTAAGCTTACTGTATATGAGAAGGTAAACCATACCTTGGAACTAGCAGAACTTAAAATTATAAATGAGAAAATTCACAGCACAGAAACTGATAAAGCCATTACTAGCACATATCAAATCTACTACTGTTTATAGTTTTTGAAACTGCACAGGAAAGCTATTAAAAGCAGGGATCTTGTGTGGGGGCAGGGAAGTGGGTACACACTCTACCGGAAAGAAGAAGCTTTGATTGCTTTTTTCTCTTTCCTTTGTAGAGTGCATGTTTATAGCCTTTACTATTTTGTCTCCTCTGTAATTGTTTTGCAGTTGGTAGGTAAGCCACTCATTGCTTTCTGACCATTTCAGCCCCACTGTGGACAACTGAGACATTATATTGATGCAATTTTGCTTCCTTTATTAATTAACAAACATTTACTAAGCACTTTCATATGTCAGTTATTATCGAAGCAGCATAAATACAAACTACTTAGCCATAATCTACTCTAAAGGGCTAATATATATACTTTTAAAGTAAGGTCATAACTTAGATTAAGATGCAACATTTTCAACAGGATCTAAAAAGGAAAATTGTAAAATTAGTTGTTTCTCAACTTTTTCTTGAAAAATAGCTTATTTGTGACAATCTTCACTACATTCTCTGTGATTCAATTCACTCAGAATATTTTTAAAGATTATTAAGCACCTACTATGTACTGTATGCTAAGGCTTTTAGAGGCGAGGAAAGGCAAGGTTCACATTTTTATGAAGTTGACATTTTAGTGGTATATTCTTTGATACACAGTTACACTATATAACTTAGGAACCTATAACTGAAATCTAGATTCATCCTTTTAGAAACTTATTGAACACTAATACTAAAAATTGGTAATGTTCTTACATGTATTTTTCTTCTGGGATACAACAGGATAGCTATAAGTAAAGCATTACTTTTTTTTTAAATAGCTCATTTATTAAATATTAAGCAGATAATAATATTGACCAATTAAAATATGTTGAATCTATTGCTGTGTTGGGCTTTTATATCCAGATAAAGAGAGCTAAATGTTGAGTAACACATTACTAAAAATTTAAACATTTTCTTCTATTTAGTATGTAATTTCTTCCTGCAAAATTGCAACCTACACCTTAGATTTAACTTCAAATGCACAAAATTATTTTCAGTAAGATTAAAAATCACTATAAAATAAAATATCCAGTTTAACAGACTATAAAATATTTTAGTTCCAAAATCAAGAGATTCTCTGATTCACATTTAATGTAAAGAAGCATTTATCAAAATAGTCCCTTTGCAGAGTATTTGGGGTCTAGAGAAACAGAAAAAAAGAACATAGCCCCTTTCAGCGTTTGTAAGTGGGTTCTACAGAGCCACAAGGGAGTAAATACAGACGTGAAACCCCAACTTCAAAGCAATGAGATCTCAGACAGGATCAGACCAAATTGTTCTTTCCACCTGGCTAGCATATTTGGGCTGGCATTATTCCACACTATTCGTGGATCAGGGACATCTGTTTAAAAACACATGGTAGCATTTGAATTGTATTTCTAGGCTGGAAGAAACCTTGATTCGTCCAGTTAAACTCCTTTATTGTTCTTGTAAAACTGAGATCCAAAGTGAATTATACAAGGTGACATAATTGACGAGTGGCAGAACTGAACACCAGAAGTCAAGTTTTCTCAAACTTAATATACCCAATAGATTTGACTGGGCATCAAAAAAAAAAAAAAAATCACTTGGCATACTTAGAAATGCAGGTCTCAGTGCCCTGTACCCAGAGAATCTAGTTGAATTGAGCTGGGATGTGCCCAGGACTTATCATTGATGATGACAGAGCTGGCTTGAGATTCATATGTGAAGAAATATTATCCAAGTCCTGTAAGACTGAACTACTTCCAAAATAAAGTGTTAAAGTGGTCGAGAATTTAAAAACAAAGCTTCAAAGACACTGTTATCTTCCCAACTGTTTCTCAAATATTCATGTGTTTGTGTAAAATGCACAAGCAACAGAAGTCAAAATCTGTTGACTATCCACACATAACATAGATGATCACAATGAACTCCTTTAATGGGCTGGAAATCTGAGACTGATCATTTTTTCATGTCACAAGATTATCCAGTTAATGTATTTCTAAGGGAATGGAGAGGAATATTTCATTAAAAGAATGAATTTGAAACTGCCAAATTGTATAACCACTAGACTTTTTAAAACTGAAGTCTCATTTTTGTTGAGGATTTGCTATTTAAGAATGTATTCCCTTATTCTTTCAATGAGTATTTACTGAATATCTACCAGCCAGGCCTTCAGTTAACATCTGTTGCATCACACATGTCTGCAAAATATCTCCCAAAACAGACTTGACAATTAACTGGATGATACTGAAAGTTGTGTGAGTCAGGTGAGAACTTCTCTTACTCTTCACAGCAGTATGTATGATTACAATAAAATATAAGAAATGCTTCGATATGATGCTATGAACTTCAACTTTAATAACTATTTTAATGGGCTCTTGAATTAAAGGAAATCTACATGGGTAAAACACAATAATACTTAGAATCATAGTCCACTGAAATAGAAAATTACCTTTGTAGGTTAAGATGTATATTAAATCAACAAATTCAATTCTAATGACAGGCTTGTGTTTTACATTGACTGATATATAGAAGCTCAAATAAATCAGGTCCCAAATTTTAATTAACTGATGAAATGTGACATACTATTGATTTTAACTGAATTGAGAGTATGGGATTACCATCTCTAAATCAAAGAGGACCCCAAAAGATTATGCTTTTGGGTGTATATTAATATAATGTCATTTCAACTTATTTTGATTTATTTGTTTATGCTCCATCTTGTTCTGAAAAAAAAAAAAAAGATTTAGGGCTCTTAATTCAAATTAAGGTTTGATTTTCAGTCTTTTTCAGATGAAATGGAAGTAGTTGGATTTCCATCAACAGATTCTCAGTTGACAGGTTTTGTCCATGACTTCACTTTATTTTCTGGAGGGCACTACAAAGGATTCCAACTTCACCTACAATTAAAAAAAAGGCCACTCATATCATAAGAAAATACCCTTTAAATATCTACAATGTGTAACACATTAAAGGATGCGTGGGATGTATTGATATGGTGGGACCCCCCCCCCCAACCTTCAAGGAGCTTACAGATTAGTTATGGTGGATAGTATTTGGGCAGTTATAGCATAGGGGCTTACAAGTTTTAATGTAATTAGCTTCACCTTTCCACAGAAAGAGTTAAGCTTTCTCTCTTTTTCTTTTATAGGGACATCTATACATGCTTGCAAGGACCTAAGCCATGAAGCCTAAAAATGTGGTTCACACAAAGCTCTTGTATCAGCATTATTATATCACCTAGGGCCTTATTACAAATAAAACTTCTGAGCCTTACCACAAATTTGGCAAATTTAGTTTGGCACTATGACTCAACAATATTCATTTTTAACCAGCTCTGCAATGATTCTGACACACACTGGGTTTGAGAATGCCTGGTTTAAGCAGATAACTCAGCCTAGATTGTTAGACCACTGGACTATGATGGAGTCCACTCCCATTCATGTCATGTTCTCACATGCCAAGGGGCCATAGGAACATAGACACTTGAAAGAAGAGGAAGGGATCTTGGAGATGGACAAGCCTTCTCTCTCCTAGATCCTGAGGAAACAGAAGTATAGAGAGGTGATGGAGTCTTACATAAAGTCACATAGCTCTAAGGACCCTTAAATTCCTAAATATGTTATTCTGTGTTTTTAAAAATTCTCTTAAAAACAACAGCCATTGAAGTTACTCTTGCTTTTTCAGGGTAAATAAGAGAGACAAAAAAATCTACGGACTGACCCCTCTGTCCTAATTCCCAGCTTCTGGAGCACTTGGCTGGTCTTTTGGGTGAACATATCTATTCCAGCTGAGTGTCCAAAATGGGCAGAGGTGGTGAATCAGCCTTGAACTTTTTCAAAATGTCTGTTCACCGGTGGCCATACTTAATGGGGAATAACTACAATGGCCAGGGACAGCTCTGCTACTGGATGTGGCCTCAGGCAACATCAGTGGGGTATTAGAGGCATACTTCAAGCCTACCTGTCTTTTTGGGCTTTTTAGCATTACAGAAGGTAGGAGCCACCACCTGGCCTAGAATTCCTCCATTCAGGCTGCTCACCCCCTCAGTGGTTTCATCCATCCATTTAATAACTCTTGAGGACCTAACCTACTTTTTAGGACTAGGGCTAACTGCCAGAGATCTGACAGTGAACCCAACCTGGCTCTCTGCTCAGGTCTTGTTGGGGAGTCAGATAAGTAAACAATTACAAAACAATATAGTGATATATGCTCTGAGAGAGGGATCTATGTGAATGCCAAGACATAGGAAGGACACCCAGACTAATCTTCCTACAAGAAGAGATGTATGAAAGACTTAAAAGATGAGCTGGAGTTGGGGACCTCTAAATGAGAATGGGAATGAGAATATTTCAAACATAAAGAACTACATAAGCAAAGGCCAGAAGCCAGGAGGGAGTGTGGGAACTAAGAGCTGGTCAATGTTGCTGGAGGGGAGTTTGAAGCACTGGAGAGAGAATCCAGTGAAGAACAATGTAACACTGTGACATTTTTATGAGCAGCTGTTATAATATCATCATTGTCCTGGAAGAGTAGAAGGTCCATAAATGAGCTACTAGATGGCTGATGAAATAGTGAAAATCTGTCTTGTAGAGGCTGAAAATCCAGGCACAACAATATGCATTGGACACTTAAAGGAAACAGTGGAGAGGCAAAGGAGGATGAGGAACATGGCAGTGACAAGCCAGGATGGAAAGCTGGTATGGTGGTAAGAGGTAGGGTGGAATCTAGGAAAGTCAAAGAAGAAAAGACACTCAAGGCAACTCTGGCCCTTTTGTCAAGTTTTTCTCATTCAACAAACAAATGGCTTACCTGGAGATACATTTCTACCTAATTCAATATTTAATACATTTCTTACTGTTCCTATGGTGAAGGTAAGAAAATCCAACTCTATTTCTAGTAAATAGAGTAGCCTCTTGAGGTGTAAGTTACTTACTGTTGATGGAGTCAGCCAAAATCTTAAGTTGCTGGGTATTGTCCAAGACCTCAATCCTTTGGGTGTATGGATCATAACGAACTGAGAAGGGCCGTGGGATTGTAGCAGCAAAGTTCCTGAAACCAAATCCACAGAGCTCAGTGGAGGGCACCATTTGGGGAAAAAATCATTCTAAAAGATTTCTCAGTGACATTTCACTTACATCTTACTAGAACAGGGGATGTAGAAACCACACTGAGAAGTGAAATGGAGTTTTAGTGAGATCCTGTTGGGCAGGCTTTGTGTGCTGTGTATGTGTCGAGATATATATACAAACACATGTGAGCACATATTTATTGAGTTACCTGCCTCCAAAATGACAGAGGTAGCTTATGGTACAAGTACAGAATACATTAAGGCCAAAATTCTTACCATTAAATAAAATCAAAAGAGTAAGTAAACCTAGCCAAAAAATGCTATAGAAAAAAATAAGCTCTAAGATGCTTGACAATCAATGCAGGAAGAGGAACACAGCTTTCAAGAATGGAAGTAAACACTATGTTATTAATGAAATTTAACATAGATAGAGGCCTCCTATGTACCAAGGACTATATGAAATCCCAATTGTTCTATACTCTCTACAGCTGTCATTCCTAATTTAATCTTAATGAAAACCTTAAGAAGAAGGCACTATTACTATCCATATTTTACTAATGAGAAAATCGAGGCTTGGGGAGCTTCAATGACCATCAAGATCATACCGGCAATAAATTGTGCAGCTGAGAAGGGACCCAGGTAGTCTGGCTTTGGCCTGTGCCCTTCTCTTCTTTGTCTTCTTGATGCATTCATTACCCTTTGATCTGGGAAGAGTGTACCGGGAGGCCGTATAAAGAACATCAAGCAACGTAATGAACAAGATACTCTAAAATGGCTCATAAAATGCAATGGCATCACAAATGATACTTCTAAGTTGGTTTCTGGTAAGAGTCAAAGCCGCCATCCTAACAAGACAAATTACAAGGGAAACTAGTAGGTTTTCCAAGTTTGGCAAGAGCTGTAGAAACCCAAGCTCCAGAGCCAGGCTGCCTGGACTTATATCCTGCTTCTGCTAATGACACCCCTTGTGGGCTGCACCTTGGTGTCCTCCTTGGTCTGTAAAACCAGAACCAGAGCAGTACTACCTCAGAGGGTCGTAGCAAATGCTATTATAGTATAGAGTAAGGGCTACATGTGTGTTAGTTGTTCTCTTTCATCAGCAACTGGGTACTCAAGAAGAACAAATGATTAAGTATGTCTCTCCATCTCTATGTGTCTGAAAAGAGCTTTCTCAGCCCTGCTGGAGACATGAAGCATATAGAACATATCTGTGATGTGGCCTGCTCTGCGCCTCTTTCCTCTTACATAGTTTACCTCATCTTTGCTTTGGGCAATCTGCCTCTACACCATGAGAAAAGCTTCAGTTAGGCAGTCAGTTTCAGGGCCATGCCTCCTCTAGCCAGGGAGTGGGCACATGGCCACACTCAGCATTGTTTCTGTCTGCCTAGAACTTGACTCATGAAACTGAAAATGGTTCAAGTTTATTTCTCTTAGCTAGGATACTCTGAGGAAATCCCTTCCTTCTCTGAACCCTGTTCTTCAGCATTCTCCTTGGCCCCGAGTCACCTCTCAGCAAAATGGAGTTTTTGTGCGTGTCTCTTCTGGGCTGAAGACACTGACAAAATGGGTGGGATTTCAAAGGCCCGAGAAACCCAGGTTCTGGCACACTCTTCCCTGCTGGTCTGGAACCGATCACTTCTTGTGTTAGAAAGTCACCACCAGGAGGACCCATTTAAATGTGATCCTGGTTTGACAGAATGGTGATGAGTACTGGCTCTGAGCCCCACAGCCTGAGTCCAAACCCTGGGTCAGCCACTTACTAGCTGTATGACCCTGGGTGAGTTACTAACCACCTCTGTTCTTCTAAAGCCCACCTGCAAGCTTTGTAGTTTTATTTGAAGATTAAATGAATTAATCTTCAAATTAGGTGCTTACATGAAAAGCACTTAGAACAATGTTTCATACATAATAAATGTCAGGCATCTAACCACCTTCTTCTTTTTCTTCTTCTTCTTCTTCTTCTTCTTCTTCTTCTTCTTATCACTAACCAAGTGGGGTAATGCACTACTCCACTGAAGTCCATTCACTAACCAAGTGGGGTAATGCACTACTCCACTGAAGTCCATAACCCCAAAAAAGTCCCAGGAATGGCAGAGTATACCCTCTAGGGTCTAGAGGAAGGCTAGGCTCCCAGTAAGGGATGGAGATTTAAGAAATAACTAGAAAGGAGTAACTGAAAAAAACATGAAGTCCCTGGAGAGATAGGAGGAAGGGAATCATCTTAGGCCAAATGATGTGGACCCATGAGCCAGCATTTTACCATCCATTACCTAAGTTCAGTGGAAACTGCCATGCGTAGCTTCCTAGGATCCCAGAAACTTATGTACCTATGTCTATCATACTGATGATACACTATCATCAATATTTCATATTGACCAGATATAAAACAAGAAGTGGTAACAAACACTGAGCATCAGGATAGCCATGTCCAGGTAGACCTCTGCCCAGCCTATCTCCTGCTGGGAGGAGAGATGCTCAAGCAGATTATAGAGAGGGCTGTCAGCTCAGCAGGCTACAAGTCTAAGTCTTGCTACCTTTCCATCACTGTCAGCCACTTGCTGAGTTGCCTCTGAGATAGATGCTTTTGCCTATCACTTATTGCCTGCTCACTATGTATCAGGTACTGTTCTAGAGACTGGAAAAATAACAGGAAAACAGAAAGGACAAAAATTCCTATGGAAATGGAGCTTAAATCATTTGGTATGTTAAATATTACCAAGTGGTAAGGAGAAAAAAAATTGCAGAAGGGGTTAAGGAGTGTGGGGGTGGGGCTGGACAGGGCTTAAAATTTTTTTTTTATGTTTATTTATTTTTGAGAGAGAGTACGCACAAGCCAGGAAGGGGCAGAGAGAGGGGAAGACACAGAATTCCAAGCAGGCTCCAGGCTCTGAGCTGTCAGCACAGAGCCCAAAGCAGAGCTTGAACCCATGAACCATGAGATAATGACCTGAGCCAGCCATACGCTTGACAGACTGAGCCACTCAGGTGGCCCTCTCATGCTTTCTTAATAAGTCGCTTGGTCCAAGAATTGTCCATGAAGGTCTTAGGTGAGAGCTACATTTCCCTCCTCAAGGAAATCTGATGTCACGTAAATCAAGGCTTCTAGCCGTGCCGATGTGTACCATAAAAGACTTCTGATTTTGCAAATATGACAAAGGAATCTGCTTGGGAAGCAGACATATCTGTCCCCCTCTTCTTTTCCATTTATATGAAGGAAAGTGAAAATAAAAGAACCTAGTCCAGTTTTAAAAAAATTTTTTTAAAGTTTACATATTCATTTTGAAGGAGACAAAGAGAGGTGTAGGGGCAGAGAGAGGGAGACACAGAATCTGAAGCAGGCTCCAGGCTCTGAGCTGTCAGCATAGAGCCCAACATGGGCTTGAACTCACAAACCATGAGATCATGACCTGAGATCAAGTCAGATATTTAACCAAGTGAGCCACCCAGGTATCTTCAGGTAGGGATTTTAAATAAGTTGGTTAGAGGGGTGCCTGGGTGGCTAGTCAGTTGAATGTCTGACTCTTGATTTTGGCTCAGGTCCCACAACCCTGGGATCAAGCCCACTTGAGTCTCTCTCTCTCTCTCTCATTCTCTCTCTCTCTCTCTTCCCCTCTCCCCTGCTTGTGCACGTTCTCTCTCAAACAAAATAAATTGATTAGAGAAAGACACACAGAGAAGGTTAAATGTGGGTGAAAACTTGAAGGAGTTGAGCAAGTGAATTATGCAGGTGTTGGGAGAATAAAGTGAACAAAGGACTCCTCCAGGCTAGAAGACTTCTGTGATTTGTTGGGAGCCTTCTGTGGCTTCTCTGTACATAGGAGGGTTCACTACCTGCATTTGGCAGCTATACTGAAGCAAGGAACCAGGGGCAGAGTTGTCGGCATGTCCAGGCAATTAGCTGTGAAATAGGGTCCCACTAGACCTCCTCCCAAACACAGAGTGGAAAGGGACAAAGGTGGGAGACTCTGTCTGCTGGACACTGTTGCTGTAGGCATTGGAGTCCACTCTTCTGGCCAACCACCCACAGATCAGTGGCAGCAGACAAATCAGGAGGCCCCAAGAGCTGCTGACCCACCTTAGTCATCACCTCACCTCACTTTCTCCTTGGCATCATTAAAACTCTCAGCCACGTAATAGAGGGGCTGGAACTCTGTGACAGTGTACTCCTGGACAGCTGTCTTCTCCAGCTCCAGGGGGAGGAGCTTGGGCTCGCCCGACAAGCAGTACTGTAGGCATCGAGTGGAACATTTTCACAGTTAAAGCAGCGTCAGTGGCTCCTGCTGCATCCCACGGGCTGTCTGGATAGCTTCTGCCATCTCACCCTGATTCCTTCCACACCCCAGCCTAAATGCAGTAAACTGAATTGTTTTGCATATACAAGATCCTACCCTTCATAGCCCATCTAAAACCTATAGCCAAGGTAGAAAGGAGTAATTCACTCCAGCCATTTGCATGTGAGATGATCAATAGAAGATATGAGAGCCAACCACATTGTTTGGCATATATTTGCATACATCTGTGTGCACAGCTCAGCCTTGGGATCGGGAGGCCCCTCTGTCCTGGATACGTGTGTCTTGCAGTTCAAGTTTACATCTAACACCTAAAGTCATGAACAAATCACAGCTGCTAAGATACCAATCACTTGAGGATACAAGAGGAGTGACTTAATCAGTTATTCTGAAGAAATCATGTATCCACAGGAGAATTGCAGAGAAGTGCTTGACATTCATCCAGGTCAATAAATAGCTGGAGAGTCTGAAATGCTATGGATCACTTCTCATCACAGCTCCATTGGCAAAATTCCCCTAGTGGTCTCTTTGTCTTTGTCCCTTTTACAGCATTTGCTCCAGCTGCCTTGTATCAGACAGAGTATATATATATTCCTTACTATATGCATTTATTTATTCCAAAATGTTTATTGGATGGCTTCTGTGTGGTTGGCAGTGTACAAGGTCATTAAAGATTATGGGCCTCCTACATTACTATGTAAACACCAGATGTTAAGGTACCAATCACTTGAGGATTAACCCCTGGGTTGAATCTCAAAATGGATATAAATGGAGTCTTACCTGTAATTCACCAAAGGATGACAGGAGCCCAGCACCATATGCTTTTATGGAGTCTCCTTGTTTACAGAGTCCAAACTCCACAGTAAACCAGTAAATCTGGAATGGAAAGTCAAGTTGAGAGCACACCTGAAGGAAGGGAAAGCAGCAAATGTCCCAGGGCTAAAGACAGGACTTCCCAGAGGTGGGTGTTTGTGTGGGTCTATTTTCTGAATCGCCATGACCTTGGGTCACTTCTCTGTGTCCTATGTCCTGGCCTATCCAATCACTGGCTGAAAGAGAGTTGGCTGAACACACGATGAGTTGGGAAGCAGTGAGAATACTGAGGAAGCCCCCAAGAAGACACCCCCATCAGTAAGTCTATATGACAGGGACTCCTCATATCAGTGAGATGTTCCCGTAGTTGGTCAGACTTGACAGGCAATCCCATCAGTCATGGGAGGAAGGAGATTGGTTGTGATAAAATCATTGAGGGGGCATCCCATCATCTGTGCTAAAACTTGGGGGGGGGGGCTTCTGATGCACTGCCAACCACTGCACTTATCCTCCTCAAATAGCCAAGCTCAACATGTTCCAGATGCCTGGCCGGGGGAAGATGGTCCTGGAATTCTGGCATAACCCTACTGACCAGGGCCACGAGGAAGGCAGGTCCCAGTTAGCTGCTGGAGACAGTCATGGCCTGGGAAAATTAGGATGGGTTACTAGTTAAAGTCTGTCTATTACCCTAGGGAACATTAAATCTGAGAAGACTGTCAGCTTTGTCAGTCTGACCTCCTCACATACAGATGATGTGTTTTCAGCCCAAAAAGGTCAAGCAACATACATCCAGTTACACAGTAAATCAAAGGCAGAGCAAGAGCGTAGGACTGTTTCCACACCAGAATATCAATAATAAGGGTTTTTTTTTTTTTCTGAGAAGTTATGTAGGTGATGAGTACTTTTATCATTGTTATAGCAAGTAACACAATGCTTTGAGTTCCAAGTTTATTTTCTTCCTACAAGTGAGAGAGCCTATCAAGCTCAATTTCTTTCAAAGAAATTGCTTCTTGCATCCATATAGAATCTGACATTTAAAAACTTAAGTTCATACACACTTAACTCTTCAGATCCTTATGATACACTTTTCAGATGGGCAGAATATAAACTGATGTATCCATTTTTAGAGATGAGGAAGCAAAAGCCACTTGCTAAGGGTCTCAGAACAGCTGGTCAGTGAGAAACTGGGAGGTCGTGCCCTTCTGATAAACTGAATTCATAAACTTATTTAAAAAATTTTTTTAACATTTATTTATTTTTGAGAGACAGAGAGATGATCAGGAGGGGCAGAGAGAGAGGGAAACACAGAATCTGAAGCAGGCTCCAGGCTCCAAGCTATCAGCACAGAGCCTGACACAGGGCTTGAACCCATGAACCGTGAGATGATGACTTGAGCTGAAGTCAGACACTTAACCGACTGAGCCACCCAGGTGCTCCTGAATTCATAAACTGCTAAACTGATATATACCATAATGATAAATTTGCATTCATTTGTGTTTCTAATGTTGGTGCCAGTGCAAAGGTAGAGAGTAAATATTTCCTCCTCAAAGCCAGGAATCCAGGCTACTTCTGCCCCCAAACACACTTTATGCCCAAAGGTTTTCAAATGCTATCATTAACAGCCTATTTGTGTTTAAGATATTTTGTTTAAAATTACATGTAAATATTTGCATGCAGCTGATTTCAAAATCAAACCACTAAGGAAAAATTAAAATGTGAAATTTTATTTGTGTTAATATAAGTCAGCACATTCTGATATTTCCCCCAATTGACCTGGCTTTCAGGGGAGGATCAAAGCTTTGAAGATCTGAAGGCTATAGTCTATAGCACTCCCACTATCCACAAGGGAGAGAGGGGACTTACCGTGGCCAGTTTCTCAATGTACTCATCAGGTGCACCCAGAGAGGCAAGGCCAATTTCCTGTAGTTGTAGAGAAACAGAGTCACTGGCATGGCTGAGGTCTGCCAATCTTCAAACTTCACCTTCAGCTCTAACCTTGTACTTAGCCACAGGAAGGTGATGGCTGACCAAATGCCTTCAGAAGGGCTCAGATAGACCCTGAGTATTCTTTCAAGTCTTCCCTAGCCACACATCATACAATCACACATCTCAAGAGGTCCTTTGTATTTATTTTACAAATAAGAAAACTGAGGTACAGAGAAGGGAGGTGATCTACTCAAGTTCACACAGTAAGTTGTGTCTAAAGGTTCATTCCTTGATTGCAGCTCAATGATTATCCCCCCATAGCTCAAGTGGAACATTCATGGAATATAAGAGGAGTGTCTTAATCATGTATCCTGAAGACACTACAGGAGAACTGCAGTGAAGCGCTTGACATCCATCCAGGCCAATACATAGCTGGAGAGTCTGAAATGCTATGGACCACTTCTCATCACAGCTCCATTTGCAGAACTCTCCTAGTGACCTCTTTGTCTTTGTCCCTTTTACAGCATTTGCTCTAGCCTGCCTTGTATCACAGTGTAGATACATAATGTGTGTGTGTGTGTGTGTGTGTGTATGTATATATATATATGTATGTATGTATATATGTGTGTATGTATAAAACTTTACAATATATAAAGTATAATGTATGAAATATACAAAATCATACATATATTTGCCTTCCCTGCTATATGCATTTATTTATTCCAAAATGTTTACTGAATGCCTTCTGTGTGGTTGGCACTGTACAAAATCAATAAAGACCTCCTGGTGTTTACATTTAAGTGGGTAGAGGCAGACAGTAAATAATAAGCATATATATAGGAATCTTAGAAGGAATACATTATTTGGCAAGAAAAAAACAAAAGAAGAAAGGGACAAGGGGGAGTGGGAGAACCAGGAGAGCAGGGGGAGGCTGCAATTTTAAATAGGGTTTCAGAGCAGTCACTATTGGGAAGGTGATATTTGACCAAAGACTTGATGGACGTGAGGTTGTCGGCTCTGCGGACATCCGAGGGAAGGGCATTGTATAGACTACATGTACAGTCAGTTAGAAAGCTCGTCAAGGAGGATACACGTCAGTAGGTTAAACACCAGGGGAGGACCAGGATGGTTAGAGCAGAATTAGAGTGAGGAGCGTGGCAGGGAGTACCGAGCAGGGATCTGGAGCTCAGTTATGGAACACTGTTTTCTTGTCGTTCTGTTCTGCTTTTGGTTTTGGTTTTGCTTTTGTTTTGTTTTTGGCTCTTTTAGGGTTTAGGAGTTTCCTTTCAGTGAAATGGGAGCCTTTGCAGGGTTTTGAGCAAAGAAGTGACAGCATCTGATCTTGCTCTGTAAGAACAGACTGCAGAGGACCAAGAGTAGAGGCAGAGAAACCAGTTAGGCGACTACCCCAATCACTGGGGTGAGAGACAACAGCAACTGAGACCAGGTTGGTAGCAGTGGACATGATGGATAGTGGTCAGATTCTACACATATTTTGAAAGGGAAACACATACAACTTTCAGAAAGATCGGTTATAGATATTTGCTAGAGAAAGAAGTCAGTGATGTCCCCTAAATGCTTTTGGTTTGAGCAGCTGAAAGGATGGAGTTACCATGAATTAACATAGGGAGGGCTGTGGGTGGGGAAGATTTGAGCAGGAAGATCAGGAATTCCATTTTGGACAGGATGAATAGAGATGTCTAATAGACATCCGAGTGGGTATATACTGAGTAGGTGCTTAGATATGTAAGTCTGAGTTCGGGGATTGAAATCTAGGATAAAGATATAAATATCTTCATCATCATGGTAGAGATGGTATTTAACATCATGAATTCAGGTAACATAACTGAAGGAACTGGTGTAGACACAGAGAACTAAGGATTGGATCTACTTTAAAGCAAGAGGCTACATGGTCTTCATCTCTTCATCACTCTCTGTGCCAAAACCAGAGCCTGGCCTATATTACGTGCTGAGAAAATGCTGAGTTAGAGTGAACTAAATCCAGACAGCCTGGCTCTCCTCTCTTGACCCTATCCCATGTCTTCCCCATCCATCCTGTCCAACCATGCCACAGTCCCACAGAAGCCATTGAAATAGTGCCCTGTTCTCCTAGTCACCTTTCCTTGTGAGCCCAAAGCTTGCTTAAAACAAGGGGTCCCTGGGGCGCCTGGGTGGCTTAGTCGGTTAAGCATCCGACTTTCGCTTAGGTCGTGATCTCGCGGTTCGTGGGTTCGAGCCCCGCGTCGGGCTCTGTGCTGACTGCCAGCTCGGAGCCTGGAGCCTGTTTCAGTCTGTGACTCCCTCTCTCTCTCTGACCCTCCCCTGCTCACGCTGTCTCTCTCTCTCTCTCCTAGAAATAAATAAAACATTAAAAAAATTTAAAAAAAAAAAAAAAAAAACAAGGGGTCCCTAAATTTTCCTGTGCTTCGTCCCTTTTCCATCTTGCACTCTAGGGGAAAGCAAGTCCTCCTTTTAGATCCCAAAAAGAATGTGCTCAGGGAACTTTCAAAATGACACCCTGCCTTCGGACTATCCTGGTATAAGTTGGAGCCATGTGACGCCGATGACCCAGTAGCATCCATCTGTTGACTCAGGTAATTGTTCACTCTTCTGGGGGTCCCCAAAATGGAAATGGCATAAGGAGGATTGTCACTTAGCCTCTGACTGGGCACAATAGCTTCTGGTAGTGAGAATAAAAAGTTCCTATGCTCTAAGGAAGAAACTGATTATTCTTTGGCCATAAGAACAAATCCCAGTTTTAAAGCTGTCCCAAGCAATCAATGACAACTTGATAACAGGAATGATGCTTCTGAAAGTCAGCTGGTCAACAATAGCTTCAATCCAATGTTGACACTTCTGAGTTAAAGCTTAGCTGATCCCCAAACGCTTCCACTTATAAAAGTCCAACAATCTCTGAACACCACAGCTCCCAAAATCCCACATAAAAGCAATAGTTTTCTGTGTTTAGAGAGATTGTCTCTTACAAGTGCAGCTCTCTCTTACCTAGCAGGTAGTTAACTCAGTTTTTTGTTTGTTTGCTTATTTCAGGTATTAAGTGATATCCTCTTCAATCAATAATAGAAATATTTATTTCTTCCAGCTGAGGGAAAACTTACAAAATTTACACACAATCCCATTACGCACAAACCCATATTTCACATTTGCTGCAGTATGTGATTTGGACCAGTTGATCTTTATTCTTCCCTGTGAGGAAGAGATTGGCAGGCAACGCTTTGTATTGGTGCACATTTGTGGAGACTGAGGCACACAGGTCACACAGCTGGTTAGTGACAGGGTGGGGCATGTGGGTGCATCATTCAACCCTCTCATGATCCCAGCTCCCCAACAACAGTTTAGCCTCTCAGTGCCCTGAAGGAATTACTAGGAGTCTGTCACTCATCTAAAAAGCTCACTTCAGTGATACATGAATCAAGGCCTAGCCTGTGGCTTTGATTATAATGCCAAGACACTTGCCACATTATTTTTTTGCCAACTATGACTTGAGCTACTGGCATCAGATTCTTAGCAAGTATTACCTTATCTAATTAAAGCATGTACAAAAATGACTGCCTGGCAAGGTAAGAAGTGACAAGTCCCTAAAGAGGAGGGGAAAGGTACCAGAAGAACTTGGAAGTAGGTAAGGTTACTTCTATGTGAGGATCAGGCAGGATTTCATGGACAAAAAGACTCTTAAACTAAACCTGGTAGGATGAGTGAGATTAGCAAATTCAACTGCACATATATAATTCAGAGGATGAGGGATTCATCCACCCCATGCTGTGGACCCTGAAATGGGTGTTTGGCTATCTCCATGAGACCATATACCCATCTCTAGTGGGATCACAGAACTGTGTCTGCCATCCACCCTTGCAGAGGACACAAGGGTCCCACCATATGTTCAACTCACTTGAGCAATACAGATCTCAATCCTATAATTAAAAGGCCAAAAAGATTCACTCCTCACCTGGGAAAACTGGGCAAAGCTGCGATCTGAAAACAAGGGCACATGTCCCAGCAGCTCATGGCAGATGTCACTGAAAAACACAAAGCACAGAGCTTGGAAGTGAGGAAGGTTATAAATCAAGCCAGATGTAGTCTTTCTACATGGGAAATGGGCAGGTAGAAAGGAGGTAAGTCATTCAGGTTTATGACTTCATGCCCTAGATTTAGTGGTGTGCAAAGTTTGGGATCAGATGAGGCAAGATACAAGAGAAAAGGAAGAAGAAGAAAGAGAAGTAAGGAGCAAATCAGGGAACAACCGCCAGGGGTCTTAGGCTCCAAGTTATCAACACAGAGCCCAACACGGGGCTCGAACTCACCAACTGTGAGGTTATGACGCTAAATTGACTGAGCCACCCAGGCACCCCAGACGTCCTACTTTTTGTATAAATTGCATAAGTTCTATTTGATTTGATTAAGAAGATGGCTAATGCCAAAGTAAGGTCATTCTCTACCTCCAGACAAATACATCTAGACATAGAAAGATCAGAATCATCTAGATGTGTATTCAGGAGGTTGTGAGATCACTTGGGCACCACTTACTCCTGTTCACACTTGGAATTTCACAACTCTGACTCCTACAATCTCTTTGGAGCTTGGCTGTGACCTCTTATTCCCATAAACAGAAGAGATCTGAATATGTGGTTCACAGGATGCCCAAATCTCCAATCAGTAAGGTCTATCTGGACAGAGAAAATCCCCAGAAGAGATGAATCTCTCTCTCTCTCTTTGTGCTACCATCAAGCAATCCAGAAAACTTGTCCTATGGATCAGCCCTTGATGAACCCAAACCTCATTCCTGGATCAGGGATCAATGACATTCACGGTGGCTGGATACTGGTAGCAGGAGGAGAATACTCACGGTTCAGGTGTGTACATGGGCTTGGACCCATGTCTGATGTATTGAGTGCAGTGGAAGACTCGGAAGGCCAGGCCACCCAAGAAGTCCCGAGAGGAAAGCAGGCCAGCCACAGGTCGGAGGCGGAATCCAGTGCAAGCTGGGAAGCAAAAGAGAAGGAAAACTCAATGCCCATCACATCTGGGACAGAGGAGTCTGCAAACCGTTAGGAGGGATGCAGTAGAGCCAACTGCTGAGGAGAATGGGTGCTGATGCCAGGTAGACTTGGCTTCACATCTCTGCCCCTACACTTTGTAGCTAGGTGATTTGGGTCAAGTAGCTTCATTTCTCTAAGCCTCATTTCCTCATCTGCAAAATGCAGATAGATGTTTACCAGATTTGTTCCAAAAATCAAATGAGCTGGTAAACATAAAGGCCTTAGCACAGAGTCTAGCGCATTGGAGACATCTTCTAATAAATTTAGCTTTTGTGATCGTTTATTAGGATGAGACACTTATTCCCTATTCTCATGTCTCTAGAGTCAGGAGGGAATTTTCACTCCACTTCCAGAAGGGAAAAAGATGAAAGGAATACTTCCAGCTTCTCTACTGCCCTTCACACAGCACACCCCAGAAAAAGCAAGGACTTCTCTGATTGGAGAATTTGGGAAGAGAAAACGAATATTCTCAGTGTAATCTCTTTGGCCCTTTCTCGCCTATGCCCTCACAGAGGTGCACATTCTGGTCTGCTCTTGGCTATGCAATGGAATATACACTTCCCCAGTGCACTGGCAAATAACTTTACATAGTTCAGAGGTGAAATATTAGGAATCCATTTTGTTTGTACATCCACACCACATTCTCCAAGTAGGTTCTATCAGTAATTAAGTTGACATTTTGATCCTCTCTCTGGTTCCTATTATCTGTCTCTCAGTTTGTTTCAAACTTGGAAGGAGAATAATAATCAGTGATGATGGTGATGATGATGATAATGATGATGGTGATGGTGATGATAGCTAGCACTATATACTACCCACCATTGTCAGGCACTGTTCTGAGCATTTTATATGTTAATTAATCCTCCTAATAACCTCATGAGGTAGCTACTTGTATTATCCCCACTTTACAGATGGAAAAGCTGAGACACAGAGAAGTTTAATTTCTTGTCCAAAGTTACCACTACATTCAGTCTGGCTCCCAAGTCTGTTCTCTTAATGACTTCTCTATAACTCCCCAGCTGCTAGTATTACCATTTTCTTATCTTACTATTGGCCATAGCAAAATGGATATTTTGCCAGAACATGTCTTTTGGACCTCCTTGTTCTTCTGTCTATGTTCCTTGGACTTGCAGGCTGAAATTCACTCTACTTGGCTTCTCATCTTTATCTGATAAGTAGAGACCCTCTAAATAGAAGGTATCTAAAAGGTCATCTAGCTCATCCTCAGTCTATCCCGGCTACCACTTCCCTCCCTGCCACATAACTTCCCTGACTCCTTGCCCCAGAGCTGACCATACTATATCCACACAGCCCAGAGCCATAGAAACTTCTTCATTTCTGTAAACCTGTGGTCTGTCATCTTACTTTCTCTCATTCTACCTGGCACATACTAGGTAGGTATTTAATATGTGTTTAGCTGGTGGTTATTTTGGTTTTGCCAAATTAATGCTTCCTGGCAGAAAGGAAAATACATGTCTCACTTGGAATTGAGGTGTAGAGGCCAGTCATCCCAATAATGTATCCTTCCCAGAGTTACTCAGATTCCAATGCAGCCCAAATTCACTGAGCACCCCCTGTATATGTAGCACTGTGCTGGGTGTTTTCACTGCAATGTCTTATTTCATTCCCACAATTTCCCTATGAGACAGGCTCCATTTGACAGATGAATAAACTGAGGCAGCTTCACCCAACTAGACAGGGTCAAAGCAACATTCATACTAGTCAGATGCATGGATTTAGAGCTCAGGGCTCTTAGCACTGCCACAAAGAACACATTTCGTACACACACGCACACTGCAGGCCCCTACAACACAGCGGGGACTGTGGGGAGAAACTGCCTGCGTACCTGGGACTTTGAGAATGGGGAAAAATGCTTTTCAGAGACATGGATATGGCAAGACCCACACACAATGCCTTGTCTTGGATGAGCGTGGATTAACAGTGGAAGCTGGTGGTGAGGCAGAGCACAGCAGCGAGATTTGTTTTTCGGACAATCACCACACATACCCTGATTCTAGTCACGATTTACTTTCTTCCCTTTCCTCCTTCCCACTCCCCGTTTTTGTCCCTGAGGTAGACTTACTCTGCAGAAACTGAGAAACCTCTTCCAGCTGGGGAATGTTATCTTCGCGGAAGCCACAGTACTTTTCCAGAAGCGGGAAGATGTGATTGTGCTCGTAGCAAGCATGGGTTTTATACAAGGACTTCAGGGTCCTGAACACTGTCCCCCAGGTTTTCTTTTCTTCCTCCGTGTATTCCACTCGAGGGATGGGCTGCCCACTAGAATACAGGCATGAAATATTTGTCTCCAGAAGGGCAGGTGTAAAGCAGAGGAAGAAGGAGCATTAGCAGAGGGAAGGAGGTCCTGAGTCTGTGAACTGCCACAGACTACAGAGGGGTTCATAAGTCATTTGAAAGAGGAAAGTTCCACTTCTTAGTATAGGAAACATTCGTGCAATTTGGTAAAGCCACGATACAAACTCTCAACTCACCAACCACACAAAGATTTGTTCTCACTTCGGAAAATCGCTTGGCCTTTCTGCAATCCTATCTCTCCAGTTGTTTACCCAGGATAGAAATTCACTTAACTGCAGGCGACCAGCAGGTAACGTAAATGGGTTAAGTAGTGGGTATGGACCCATCTCTCAGTAAGAGAGTGGCAGCCAAGACAACTGAAGGACGCATCCTCTTTCTAAACAAAAGCATCCAAGTTCAAGCAAAGCGATATCATGTTTTGCATTATGTCAATTAAAGCAAGTATATTTGTGGTCTAAAGCGGATTTAATATATGGACTGTGAGTCTGAGACCCCTGTTTAGTGGGCATGCACTTGCTAGATTTGATATTTCTTAAAAAAAAATTTTAATGTTTTTATTTATTTTTGAGAGAGAGAGAGAAAGAGAGAGAGAGAGAATCTGAAACATGCTCCAGGCTCTGAGCTGTCAGCACAGAGTCCAATGTGGGGACTCAAAAACCGTGAGATCATGACCTGAGCTGAAGTCAGACACAACCGACTGAGCCACCCAGGTGCCCCTAAATTTGATATTTCTGACCTTAGGTATTTGAACCCATGTCAGGTATAAGATCTGTTTTTGTAGCATCTTCTGTTATGACATAACAGAGCTACCGGGAGCTGGTTAAAATACGTATGTTGGATCCTGTCCCATAGATCCTGAATCTGTGGGGGAGGGACAAGCCCAGGCATCTGGATTGCAATAAGCTTCCAGGGGACACACTATAGTTTGAGAGTCAGTAGTTCGAAAGGTCCTTTTGAAAAACATCTAAGAATGAACTGTGTTCCCAACAGTAAAAACAAATGAAAATCAAGCAAAGCCAATCTTTAAAAAATCCAGTGACTGTTCTTTGCACTACAGACCTGTTTCCTAACAGGGTACGCAGTGTCTAGGACAAGGCAGAACTCTCTACTTAAGAATTATGGATCCTCTTTGGGCTCCAAATGAGGTTTCTCCTGTCCTTTCAAAGTTGTAGCTCATCCAAGGCCATTAAGGCAAAGTCCATGTTATGTTCCTCAGAAACGTGGGCAGGAATTAGGGCAGAGTTTTGCTTAAGCATTGGAAGCAACACAAGCTCAGAAGACCCTGTAATGGCCAGCAGGGTTTGTGAAAAGAGCATCAAGCAAGCCCCTGCATGAGGACATGCCATCATATCAGGGCTAAGTACTGGTGGAGGGAAAAGCAGGCTTTGAACTTGGACAGACATGGGTTCACTACTTGGCTCCTAGCTGAATAGTCTCTGGCAATTTAGTAAGCCTCTCTACATCTAGTCTGTGCCCCTGTTACATAAGCTGATAATAAGTCACTCTTGGGAAGGTGTAGAAGAGAATTAGGTGAAATACTATGTATAATGTACCTAACATCGGTGCTGACAAATAATAATACCATTGTGTAAAATTTAATTTTCATAACTGAGTCTTATTTAAAAAGAAAGGTGATTTGCTATTTTGTAATGAGATTTTAAGAGATAGTAACATCCTGGGTACCATGATGACCCTTTGGTTGATATTTGCCTTTCCTGATGTTCAATTTCCCTTCCTCGTTCTTCCAGTAAAGCAGCCTCCTCCCCTTCCAGTCTCAGGTTCAGGTGAGAGGAGACTCCACCACTCTTACCTGAGCATGTGACCAAGCCTAGCTAATTAGAGCATCTCATTTCCCTAGTCACAGAGAGTGGCTGAGAGATGGGCCCATGTCCTAATCAGATCCAATGAGACTCAAAGAGAAAACTTTGGGGAATCTGTTGGAAGGAGATAGAACCTTTAATTGGGGTGAGGTGTCAGCCTGGTGGTACTGGGCCCACCTCTAAGAGAGACAAGACCAATGCCAGAGAGCAGAGCCAATGCAGAGTACTCCAGAGTCAGAGAGAGGGAGGGAGTATGGGAGGGACAGAAGTATGTGACAACTTGAGCAAGTTATTGCCAGTTTCTGAGCCATATATATATTCAACATAAGGACAATCAAATCCCCTTTGTAATGTTGTAATGACAATCAAATAAGTCATATCTAAAATGCTGTCTGGATGTAGTAAATATTTCAGAATTTATTTTCTCTCTCTGTCTCACACATACACACTAACTTCCATAGTTTACTTACAAATTAAACACAGCACATTTTATTCCATCTTCTACTCCATCAAGAGACCTAACGTTTTATAAGATCCTTGGTCTTTGAAGAAATTGTCAATTAGTTTTATCAAGTCATGATCTCATTAAGTAAAATGAACGAAGATATTTTAAGAAGAGTGTCAATTTGGCTTGAAATAAAAGAGATTTCTAGTTTAGCCAATTAGGATCCTTCTTCAAAAAACTGAAGTAGAATGCATTGTTTCTTAATTATTCCACCAACCAAACATGGCTTTTAATTTACTCTAGCATCAGGCATAGCCTTTTCTATCCTTGGTGTCTTATTTTACACCAAGTAATTATTACAAGACAAATAATTTGGCGCCCCAAAACTGCAAGTGTAATTTTTCAGTGGCTCTTCAATCTGATGTTTTAAGACTTTTGTTAAATGTTCTTGGGCAGGGGAGTCAGAGAACTACATGGCAGATGGACAGAGAAGAGGGTCACTAGCGGTAGTGGGGTTTAGCTGCTTCTTTATTCTCTACAGTAATTCATTCTGGCCCCAGATATTCACATCTCAAAGCAAAAGACCTATAGCTCACAAGACCCACCTTCTCATTCACTAACCCCATTTTTTTTTTTTGGCTGTAAACTCCAACTCAATCTTTAATTCTCAGCCTAAACTTTACTTCCTGCTGACCTATTCGCCCAATCTACATTTCAACTCCTCGTTATATGGCCTCACAACACCCAAGTTTTTACTTTGGTAACACCTATCATGTTTACTGTTACATTTGTCATTGCCTTCCCCACGATTCCCCCAGAGGACATGGACTCTGTAGGTCTTGCTCTTGGGGTGGGCTCTGGAACTTAGTAGATGCATTTTGTCACCTGATCAATCTCCTGTGATTCCATGACTCATAATGCAGGAGTTTGTGCATTATTCCCCATGTGGAAAGTGCCAGAGATCTGAATGTGGGACTATTGGCATGGAGGGTGGCAGAAGCCAAAGAAGAGTGCCAAAGTTGAGTCAGAAAGACATTACAAGCTCTGGGGTGAGATGAGCAGGCCAGGGAGAACTGGGAAGAAACCACAGAAAGGAGGGAGGGAAATCAGTAAGGCATGGAATACATTTGATTCTCTTCATATGTGGCTGTTATGCTACATAAGGTCACCATGAGCTCTGAGCTGAACTCTGAACACAGAGCCACTGGTCCAAAAGAAAATACAGGACTCAGGTCCCATGAGCTCTGGTCAAATTTTCAATCAACTGATAATACCAACTTGGTTTTGTGTGAGCTTTTGGATAAAGAAATGTATTTAATATATATGGCTGATTCATTAACATTGAACTTGACAGGGGCACCTGGGTGGTTCAATCAGTTAAGCATACAGCTTCGGTTCAGGTCATGATCTCATGGTTCATGAGTTCAAGCCCTGTGTTGGGCTCTGTGCTGACAGCTCAGAGCCTGGAGCTGCTTTGGATTGTGTGTCTCCCTCTTTCTGCCCCTCGCTCCCCATTCATTCTTTCTCTCAAAAATAAATAAAAACATTAAAAAATATTGAACTCAACTATAACAGCACTATAACTCCTGCTTGAATGAAGCTTGTCTAACATATGCATTTTCTTCATAAACACATCACAGTCTTCTCACATTTATGAACCCTAGACTACACTTCACCACTATGCTGGGGGCAGGGGAGTATTTTAAACAGCAAAATCATCAACAAAAAGTACAAAAATTCAGCAAACATGTCTCTAATCTAAATAGACTTCAGTAAGAATAGTTGTTTATAGTATAAAAGCTGAAATAAGGAGGCAATGGCACCTTGTTCAGTCTGTGACCTTGTGTGTCAGGCAAGTCCAACCTTTCCCCACTCTGCGCTTGTCTGGGAATGATTGCAAAAGTGCCACAGAATTGAATTGAAGGTCTCAAATAAATGAGGCAAGTAGTCCTTGAATAATGACAATCTACTCTACCAGATATTGAGCTAAGAGACAATTTCAAGAAGAAACAGATGGTAAGCAGGGTCAAAAGTTTAAAAGAGAGGAGCAGAAATGAGTTATGAAATAGTCTTTGAATTTGAGAACAAGTTCAGCCCTAATAGCCACATGACCTTTGCCACATCACTTAATCATTTGAGATTCATCTGTAAAAATGGGGAAATTGACTAGAAGATCTCTAACGTTTCTCAGAGAGCCAGCCATCCATGGATGATTTTCAATAATCAATTTAACTTACTTTTTAAACATCAAGGATGGTGAGGCATTCGAGCTTCTCCATTAGGTTTACATTTTTATTTTATTATTTTTTAGTGTTTATTTATTTTTGAGAGAGAGAAAGTATGAGCAGGGGAAGGATAGACAGAGGGAGGTGGACAGAGGATCCAAAGCAAGCTCTGAGCTGACAGCAGACAGCCAGATGTGGGGCTCGAACTCAGGAACCATGAGATTATGACCTGAGCTGAAGTCAGACACTTAACTGATTGAGCCACACAGGTGCCCCATGTTTAACATTTTCATGGAAGGGAGGTTAGGGACTCAGTTTCTCCCCTCAAATTCCAAGAACCAGGCAGTAAGTGAATGTGCTTCCTAAGCAGCTCCTGGATTTTACGGAAAAGTGTGGTCTCCTGACTCTGAGAATCCCGGCGCTCAGGGACGTGGATAAGAATGGCTTTGGAGTTAAAGAAGTCTGAATTCAAAAAGGGATGATGCCACCTACTAGTTATATGGCCTTGGCAAGTTACTTAACTGTATTGAGCATTACTTTTCCAATCTGAGAAATAGGGAGTTATAATTAAGACTAAATGAAATAATGAAATAATGTAAGCAAAGCATTTAACAAAGCCCCACACACAGCAAGGAGATCATAAATTTAATTTGTTATTATTGACTGCCTGTCAATAATAGGCTCCTGTCTGTGCCCGATTTGATGGTGTCCGCCTGACCACGCTAGGGCAAAAGCAGGGGCAGCGGGGAGGGGTTGCCATGTTCTGTGATTCCTGCTTGTCACAAGCCAAGGCCCAAGGTCCAAACCGGCCTACATTTAACTAAAGTGAGCACCGTTCTGGATTCTTCCACTGCCGGGAGTCATTCAGAGAAGGGAATTGGCTTATTTTCTCTGGAGGTCTTTCCATCTGGAAGGTAATTTTGTATGCAGTAAACAGAGCCCTATTATCTTCTTCATCTCCCTCAGAGTCTAACAAAGCTGTTAAAGTACCATCCCTCAGGGTTCTGGTCAACTTTTAAAAAATGATTATTTGTTTATTTTGAGAGAGAATGAGACAGGGGTGGGGGGTAGAGAGAGAGAATGAGAGAGAGAGAGAGAGGATCCCAAGCAGGCTCTGGAGCAGAGCCTGACACAGGGCTGGAAACTAGGAACCAAGAGATCATGACCTGAGCTGAAATCACGAGTCAGATGCTTAACCAACTGAACCCCCCAGGCGCCCTGGGTTCTGACTTCTAAGTCTCGTCTTAAGTGTGTCTTTTCTGATGTCTTAGGAGCTCAGGCCTCAAACACTGAGTTTCTCGGGGTAGCATTTCTGTATTCCTGAGGACTCAAAATAGCAAAACCAGTTCCCTTCCCAAATTGACATGTTTGATATTTGCATTTTCCTTTGGCTAACATAGGGTAGAATCCCAGACAGAAAAAAATAAACTCGGAAAATTGCCCTTCGCAGCTGGGTCAGATCAGATAAAAGAAGAACGCTGAGGCTCGGCTCATCTGAAACCTCAAATGATTCATTATTTCAGCAAAGCAGCCAACTCCTCCTTGAATGTAAATGATTCTCTTTTTCCTTCTTCCCTGTTTAATGTGGAGAACACCAGAGGCTGTTCTATTCAGGGCTGAGGCCTTTTATAATTACTTCAGACGTTAGCGCATAAGGACACAACAAAGCTGGGGAGAGAGCCGGGCCTGCACGGTGGGTAATTTTGTTTTGTCTAGCAGCAATTTTTTTTAAACATGTGTTATTAAGGAGAGGGTTTAAACACACACGCGCGCACACACACGCACACAGAAGGCAGGACTCTCTATGCTGGTATTTTCCAAACTCGGGCAAGGAAAAGGTGAGCCAGGAGTGTGCTCTCTTCTCTTCCCCAGGGCAAGCAGAGGGAACTTACTGTCGGTAGCTGTAGGCAATGTCCGCAAACTGCTTCCGTCTCGCTCGGTACACAGGATCTTTAAACCCCTAGGAGAGAGGAGACACTTGACTTGGGTGGAGAGGCCTAGAACATTCTTGCAGGATTTGAATGGGGGCTGTCGTGAGCGCTGACCATCCAGCTCTCCTTCCTCAGATCATACCTTGAAAATAAAGTCTCAGAGATACTGAGGGTAAGCTCCCCGGCCAGCTATTATGAATGGCATATTATCAGCAATGCCTTCGATCCAGTGAGGGCCTCTCTGCCTTGGAATTCCAGAATGCAAACAGTGTACAGGTTTTTCAAAAAAAATCTCATCTACCGCATTTCGAACTTTCAAGCTTGCTAACTTAGGCAGTTATTGGGATAAGTGTCTGTGATGAAAATGTGCAGTATCCATCAAACACCTAAGCCATGGTATATGTCCAGCACTGCTTCCTGACTTCCTGATAAACAAACAGGCACATGCTTGCTGCTACTGCAATTCTTTAAACTAGTATTTATTGGGTGCTTATTATATGCCTGTCTGTGTGTGCTAGGGACTTTTTTATTTGTGAGTCTCACAAAAATATTGCATGGGAGATCGGTGTGATTATCCTCATGCATGCAGCATAAACAGTGGCCCAGGAAAAGGAGTCAAGCCAAGATGAGGCCAGGATGTGAATCACCCAGTTTCATGCCCTTTTCATTACACTTCAGGGTCAACCTTTATACAGCAGCAGGGGTTCAACTGAGAAATCAGTCTCAGTATAGAAAAATGAAGATAATCATTTCTCCTTTGAGGCTCACCTGCAGGCAGCCTTTCACCCAACAATCATAAGCAGCATACTTCATATATATATATAATTTATTTTGAAGGGGAATGTGGATGGGGGAGGGGCAGAGAGAGAGAGGGAAAGAAAGAATCCCAAGCAGGCTCCACACTCAGTACGGAGCCAGATGCGGGGCTCAATCCCATGAACCATGAGATCATGACCTGAGCTGAGATCAAGAGTCAGATGCTCAAATGACTGAGCCACCCAGGAGCCTCCATAAGGAGCATATTTCTGAATAGTGAAAAGAAGCCAAGGTTATCTTTCAGTGTTGGTGGGACATATACCTTAGTCAGAGGTGAACCCAGTTGATTAAAAGCGTATTTCCCCTGCACTTTCTTCTAGGAGTTCTAGGGTTTTAGGTCTTGCACTTAAGTCTTTAATCCATTTCAAGTTAATTTTTGTGAGTGGTGTCAGATAGGCATCTAATTTCATTCATTTGCATGTGAATGTCCAGTTTTTCCCAAATCCATTTATTGAAGAGACTACCATCCACTCCCCATTGAATATTCTTGGCTCTCTTGTGAACTATTAGCTGATTGCATATGCATGGCTTTATTGTTAGGGTCTCAATTCTGTTCTATTGGTCAGTCTGTCTGTTTTTATGCCAGTACAATATTGTTTTGATTTCTATAGGTTTGTAGTATAATTTGAAATCAGGAAGCATGATTTCACCTTTGTTCTTTCTCAAGAAGGATTGCTTCTTGACATTGGTTTTAGCAATAATTTTTCTGTATATAACATCAGAAGTACAAGCAACAAAAGTAAAAGTAAACCAGTGGAACTCTATGAAACTAATACTTTTGCACTGTAAAAGAAACAAAGAACCAAATGAAAAGGTAACCAATGGAACGTGAAAAAAAATATTGCAAACCATATATCTAATATAGAGTAAATACCTAAAATATGTAAGTAACTCATATGATGCAGCGTCACAAATTCCACTTAAAAATGAGCAGTGGAACTGAACAGACAAAATACACATAGCCTGTAAGTACCTGAGAAGACGCTCAACACTCATCATCAGGGAAATGTAAATCAAAACCACAGTGAGATACCACCTCACACCTTTTAGAATGGCTATCATCAGAAAGACAAGAGAGAACAAGTGAAGATATGGAAGAAACGGGAATTCTCCACTTGATCTTAGCCAAAAGGCTGAGAAGCGATTGGAAGAAATGGAACTCTCACGTACTGCTTGTGGGAATGTATATTGGTGCAGCCCCTATGGAAAACAGTATGGAAGTTCCTCAAAAAATTAAATGCAGAGCTATCATATGATCCATGAATCTCAAATCTGGGTTTTTATCTAAAGGAAATGAAAACAAGATCTTGAGGAGGTGTCTATACTCCATGTTCACTGTAGCATTAGTTACAATAGCCAAGAAATGGAAACAACCTAAGTGTTTGTCAATAGATGAATGGATGAAGAAGATGTATACATATATATCACATATTTTATAACATATAATATGTAGTATAATAATATAATACATAGATTATGTATATGTATATATATCATATTACTCAACCATAAAAGAAGGAAATCCTGCCACTTCCAAAAACATGGATGGACTGTGAAGTTATGCTAAGTCAGACGGAGAAAGACAAATACTGCATCATTTTACTTCTAGGTAAAATTGAAAAAAAGCTGAATTCATAGAAACAAAGTAGAATGGTGGTCACCAGGAGCTGGGGGTGTGAGAAATGAGCAGATTTGGTCAAAGGGTACAGACTTGCAGTTATAAGATGAATAAGCTCTAGGAGTCTAACATACAGCATAGTAACTATAATTAATAACACTGTATTATAAACCTGAAAGTTGGTAAGAGAGTAGATCTTAAATATTTTCATCACACACACACTCACACACACATACATACACACACACACAAATGGCAATCATGTGAAGTGAGAGAGGGGTTAACTAACCTTATTGTTACAATCATTTTGCAATATGTATGTGCATCAAACCATCGTGTTATACACTTTACACTTACACAACGTTGTATGTCAATTAATAAATCTGGAAAGGGGGGTGGTATTTTGCCAAAAAATGATAGTAACCTGGATTTTAGAAAAACAAGAGACTAGCATAGCATCATCACTGTAGAACTTCCTTTGTTCATTCCAAGAATTTCCCAATAAGTGAGGACATCTACCACTTGCCCCACCATCCCTCCAAACCAAGGTGTTAATGAGTCAAAAACAAGGGCTTGCATCATGGAATGTAATATTTAAAGGAGCCTTTTTAAAGGATAAATACTTCCTGATTTTTAGATATTGTTTTTTGTTTTGTTTTGTCTGATAGGCTGGCTGGTTGGTTATTTTGTTGTTGTTGTTGTTGTTGATTTTAAATCAGTTCCAAAGAACCAGGGCTCCATATATATGTAATCTGAGAGTCTGTAGCATAGAGTCTGGCATAAAGAAAGAACCACAAACACTTGTTGAAAGAGGGAAAGAAGGAAAGAAGGAGGAAGGAAGGGATGATCAGAGGGAGGGAGGGAAGAAAGAATTTCTTAATTTGCTTCTTAAGATATATTTTGAGAAAGAGAAATCTAAATGTTTCACACTGGAAAATTAAAATTACTATATATTCTTATTCCAAACTTAAATTCCAAGTAAGTTAAGTGATTATTCAGTTTGGAAAAGATTCCATGACACTGTTATCACAAAATATAGCTCTCCTGTTTTCCTTAGGGTGCTAAATGGTTTGGAATCATTAATTATGGGGAGGAAGGCTTAGGAATCTGAAAACTTAAAACTACCCTTGGTGCACTTCTATTGGATGAAGATAAGTTGCCTTGAGATGATGCAGTAAGTAAATTGGGCACCATGGTTTGATTTCCAAGCAGCACTAAATGCATTTCTTTAGGAATCTGCCTACCAGGCTAAATGAAAAACACGTGTCCATAGTTAAGACTCAAAATATGCACTTAATACTTGCCAGTCATTAAGGTTTGGTGATAACAGTCATCCTCACCTACCAGGCTTAGTAAACAGTCAGTAATAAATGGCTCTCTCCAGCCCCTAAGTATATAGTATAGACTTTTGCACCTGTAAGGCATCTTAGAGAATATTTGTATATTTTGACCTAGATATGAGGAAAATGAAGCCATTTGTAGAATCGGCATCTCCATGGGAGTTTTCTGTTTGCACGCACAACTGATGAGCTGAGGTTTGAGGGTTGAGGCAGGAAACCAGGTGGATGAGGGAAGATTTCCCTTAACCAGTGGATTTTCACTTCATCATGCTGCCTCCAGGAATGAGATGCCCTTGACAATCTCTCTTCCTTTATCTTTGATCTTTAATGCATGTTGTCTAGGTAGTTCAAAGATATTTTTATCAGTGAAAAAAAAAACAATATAAAATTGTATATCCAGGAGGTATCAACTATGTTGGAGGATATGTACAAATGAAATGAAGGAAAAAGTACACCAGAACCTAACAAATGTTACGAAAATGAGAAACAGTAGCTTTGATTTTTCTGTACTATTTATGCTTTTGAAGTTTTGTACTGAGAGTGTGGGTTTCTTTTATAATTAGTGAAAAAGTAAAATAGCATGACAAATCCATCTCAAATCATTATGAAGAAGTGACAGAAGATTCTCATGCTGAGATATATCGACACACGTGCATACACAGTATACGACACAGATTTTCCACAAGCAATGTTTCTAACCACAGTCCTTTCCAGCTCAAAGTGCCTAAGAAGTTCATTATCAGCCATCAAAAAGCCCCCACCAACCAGGCTGTAAGGACTTTTGTTCTCTCAGTTGCCAGGGAAAGAGTTGTGTCCTTGGAGTCCATATCTCGGTGGCTTGGTCTTGCATCCTTTGGGCGGCCAGATGACCACAGGGCCTCTGCAGCCATGCAGAGTACACTCTGAATTAAGCTTCAGTTGATGATGACTAATCATCCTGTCTCAATTTAGACTAATAGCAGCAATTTCAGTAGCACTGCATGTAATTTATTTATAATCACCCTGTCTCAATTAAGCTAATAGCAGCAATTTTGGTTGCACTGCGTGTAACCAAGTATGTTTTGACAGGAAAATATATTGTTGGTGAAGGAGGAGTGGGGAGGAGGGGGAGGAGGGGGAGGAGTGGAAGGAACAAAGTGGAGAGAATTCTACAGGAGGTAAAGTTACAACATCACCTGCAGTCTACACGCAGTCACTTTCCTAAGTCTCAGAATTTTGGTGACTTGTGTGTTGATGTGCGTGGTTTTGCTTTTGT